CCAGAGGGAACCGCACAATTGCCCCCTAGTGGCATTTCAGTCCCGCACATCCGGCCCCCGCTGGCCACAGCCCCTGCTCATCTCCAGGCATCTCCCAGGAAAGGAAGCAATGCTGAGCTCTGGGGTGATATTCAAACTCCCCTCCCCAAACTGCACCTCTCGGCAGACGCCACCTCCCCCCACCCTGTTGCTCTTGATTAGAACCTGTAGTTATGCCTGGCGCCTCCTTCTCCCTCGCCTTCCACTCCTGCGCCAAAGGGGTCTTCTGAAATCTAATTCCAAAATTCATCTCATCACTCCCGTGCTCAAAACCCTTAACAGCGTCTCACTGCCCTCAGAATAAAGCGTAAAATCCTTCAAGTCTCAGGAGGCCCCCAATACTCTGGCCCTGCCTACTTCTCCAACATGAAGGGGGAGTCACTGCTCCGTTGACAAATATTTAGTAAGCACCTATTATGTGCCAGATACCAGTCCAGATGTTAGGGATACACCACTGGACACAGCAATGACTCTGAATTCCTACAGCTTTCATTCTGGTGGGAAAGATTCGCAAAAAGCAAAGACAGAACATTGTGAAAAGTGCTGGGAAGAAAACTAAAGTAGATTAAAAAACTATTTTTTTTTTTTTAAGAGAAGGCACCTCTGCAGAGAAGGAAAGCATTTCAGCGAAGACCTGAGCGAAATAAAGGCGCAAACATTTGAGAGATGATCCCAGGAAGAGAGAAGGTCAAGCATAAAAGCCCTAGAGACAAGTGTGGCTCGAGCGGCAGTGAGGCCAGCGTGCCAAAAGTAAGGTGAGCAAGGAGGGCAGAGGCCTGAAAGGTGTCAGGGGCCAGGTACTGCAGGGCCTGGCCAGCCCAGGAAAGGACTTCGGACTGTGGGATAGAGGAGTGACATGGTCTGATTCATTTCGTAAAGAATCACCATAGTTTTGTGTGAAAAATAGGTCAGCTGGTGGGCAGGGGTTGGAGAGAAGGGAAGGAGACAGGATAAGGTGGAAGCTCAGAGGCCAGCCAGGAGGCCCCTAGGCTAGTCCAGGCAGAGGGAGACGCCAGTGGCCTGGACGCCTGGCAGCCGTGGAGAAGGGGAGAAGGTCCCCTTCCCATCACGCACTGGGCCCCACCACCACTGGCCTTGTTTCAGGGCCTCAAGGGACAAGCCCTTCTCCTCTTCACTTGAAATGCTTTCCCTCAGCCTTCTACACAACCTTCAGGTCTTACTTTGTTACTTCCCCACAGAAGCTGTCCCCGACCACCACCCCCAATCCGAAGGAAGTCCCCTTCTGTGTTCTCCCGTTGCCCCCTTAGACTTCGCGTCTGCTGCACTTACTACAACTGGCAGTCACGTATGGTTGGTGACATGTGGCTGAGTGTGGCTATGAGTCACGTCTCCATCCTCATGAGACTAGTCCTGAGAGTAGAGACCCCGCCACTGTCTATTCTGTTCACCCCTGTGTATCCAGAACACTGCACCCCACTGTAGGTACCTGAAACCAAGGAATTTTAAAAATTAATTGAGAAGCCCCATTTATGCTCCATTCACATATACAGTAAAAGGGGTAACTGTTTCTTGAAGCACCATGGTTTGGTGGGGGTGAAACAGGGGCGACTACCTAAGAGTACCCCTGCTTTACAAAAAAGCAGGTTTTTCCCTTGAAAACCTCTGGTCCTGTGACTCCAATCTAGAACTAGAGGTACTCGGAGAGAGGACTTAATTCTCTTAAACTCAGGTTGACTTCAACACTTCCCCTGCTACTGACTAGAAAAATAAACTAGAAAACATCTGCCACCCACACCCTGCACACCTCCT